CCACTTGTGCGGTTGGTGATTAGCGTTGCTTTTGCTGTTAATAATGTCGCTGCGGAAATGTCTGCTGGCGGTTGCAGTTGGTGTTATTCTGTTTTGGCTGTTTATGGCTATTTGTCACCATTTGCCGCATGAGCTATCATATCAGGACAACAATGTGTAAATGTGTGATTTATGGAAGGATTTTGGCTGCACAGTGCTGTGTACGCCGAAGAGTGCTTTACGTAATTAACGAAAACTCAATTACACCCTTGTCGAAGTGCGTACGTTCAGTTATGGAACCAAGTTGATCAGATGCGTTTAATGTTAGTGCTATACTCTTTATAGAGAAAAAAATATCTATATTAAGGCCACAGTGTTAAGCTTCGCTTCAGCAAGAAGGATGGATCTCGAAACCCAGTTCATCATCAACAATAAATATCGTTCTCAGCATTCGGTCAGAAAAAATGCGGATCATTCAACGTAAATCGATTTATATAAGAAAGGAGACTTTAACAGGACAATTCTGGTTAATATAGTAAAGTCTGTCGTAAGACAAATTAAAGAAAGATGGCAAGATAGATCGAAAGACTTTTGCCATTCTAGCGAAGTGATGCTCAAAGAGAGCTTTCACTCTATGCGCGTCCATATAAAACAGCGATGCGCAGGGAGAGCTTTTGCTCTGCTCGCGCCTATACAAAATGTATAGAAAGCTTAAAAGAGCTTAACCCGCGGGCAAGGCTGTGCCCAACGGTGGTGTAAAAACTACATAGAGCTTTTGACTGCCATTCACCGGGGTGTGGCCAGAAGTGATTCTTGTGAGTATGGTTCAAAACGCAGCTCACAATGTCCGGAAATTTATATCCACGTATCCTCTGGGTAGCAACCAAACACCCTTTTGGGAGAAAAAGAACAGAAAAGCCTCGGATGAGACCGCCTTGTTTTGATGACGACCACGGCAAACGTATAAAGTACTATCATTTGAGGGTTTGCACCTGGAATATCCGGATCCTTAATCGGGAAGGTGCCTCTGCCCGGCTGTCCTCGTGAAGACAAACGCTTACATCACTGCCATCCAAGAAATAAGATAGACGGGACAAGGCAAGGTATGCGTGGAGCCTTGGGACGTCTACTATAGTTGCCACGTAAAGGAGCGCAAATTTGGCGTGGGATTTGTGGTGGCAGAGAGACTCCGTCGCGGAGTACTGGCGTTCACCCCAGTGGATGAAAGTCCAGCGAGATTCTTCAATATCTCGCTCATCTTCGACGGAAGAGAAGGACGAGGCATCCAAGGATCTCTTCTATGAGCGCTTGGAGAGAACGTGTGAGCGCTGCCCCGACACGATATAAGAATCGTGTTTGGAGATTTCAATGCCAAGGTGAGCAAGGAAGGGATCTTTGGCGCCATTGTCGGGAAATTCAGCGCCCACTAGGTTCCAGCAAAATCCAGGTCAAACTGTAAAAATATCGAGTTTTTCGCAATATTTGAGAAGCTGTAGAAAATAAAGAAAACGCGAGATAACCTTTCACTTAGGCTTTAATTAAAGCTCGAAGTCTCGACTACTGTCCCTAAAAATACCATCCCTGCACCTTAACCTGATGGTCACTTATAGTAATCTATTGAGCAACAAAAAAATATTGGAAAACAAATTTGTTAAAGTTAGTTTTTTCTGTTCAATAAATGACTATTTATAAGTGACCTTTGGGTCAAGATTAAGAGATAATAGTTTTAGCGACAGTAGTCGAGAGTTTCAGCTTTTATCTAAGCCTAAGTGTAAGGTTTTTGTTAATTTAAGCCTAAGTAGAAGGTACTATGTCCTTTTCTTTCTTTGGTAGAGCTTCCAAAATTTAACACTGAGTTTTTAAAAAATACCGTTATATGGAAATTGGCGCATTTGTGGGCGGAGTTTGTTTATATTAACACCTTATACTAATATTCACTAAAGAAGCTTGTGTGTGTTATGTACGGCCTCTAGGTTAATTTTTAATAAATATGTCCTACTTTTTCGTGATTTCTCCTACTGTGCGGTCATCAGATCAAAAATGATTAATTGGTTCATCACCTCCAACTACGCCAAGGAGCTATCTTTGTGTGGCCGGCACGATATTGTGTACTCGATTGGTCATATTTGATATTTACGACTATCAAGTCGCAGTAGGTAAGTACTAGATAGGCCCAGTTTTTTTGGTGTATAGTTTTTCCATGTCATTAAAAAGCTCAAATAGATCCACTGATAGTACGCGGAACAGTTTTATCGATAGCCCACATGGCTTCGGTTTAAAATCTGCAAAGAAGTGGCGAATGAATTTTTATACCCGAGCGCACTTGTGCACAAAGGTATATTAATTTTGTTCACATAACGGTTGTTTGTACATAAATGATCAGGATGAAAAAAGAAATCGATTAAGCCATGTCTGTCTGTCCGTCCGTCTGTCCGTCTGTCCGTCTGTCCGTCCGTCCGTGTACACGATAACTCGAGCAAAAATTGAGATATCTCAACGAAATTTGCTATGTAGGTTTCCCTTAGTCCAAGGTAGGTTGGTATTGAAAATGGGCGAAATCGGACTTTAACCACGCCCACTTCCCATATAACGGTAATTTCCAGAAATACGAAAACTGCGATATTTTAGTAACTACTGAAGATAATTCACTCAAAATTGATATTTACAATAATTTTTAGACGACAACTAAGAGTGTTATAAATTTTTGGAAAATGGGCAGAGCCACGCCCACTTATGGTTACATGTGTATATCTCGGTAACCGCTGCACTAATTTCTTCTTCTTCTTGGCACAGTGGTTGGCCTTGGTACATCTTAAAAAATTGCCGAAAATTTTTAAAATCGGGCGATAACCACGCCCACATCCCATATAACGGTAATTTAGAGAAATACAAAATCTTCGATAAATCAGGAAATATTGAAGCTAATTTATTCAAAATTGATGCTTGCAACAATTCTTTACCAAGAAATACGTTTATGGTAAAATTTTGGAAAATGGGCGTGGCACCGCCCACTTATGATCACATATATGTATATCGGTAACCGTTCTACCAATTTGTACCAAACTCGGTGTGGTTATTGTGCTTGCCACATATAAGCAAAACGTTGAAAATTATTGAAATCGGACTAAAATTACGGCCGCTTTTCATATAACGGTAAATTTCAGAAATGCTTGAAACTTCAATATTTCGAAATTTAAGGACGCTAATTTACTCAAAATTGATACACCCCGGCTTACCATCTAGCCGTAGGTTTCGGAAAGGTGAAAAAACATATATTTAATACTTGCGCCGGGTATTTAATGTTCGGCTCCGCCCGAACTTAGACTTTTCTACTTGTTTTTGTTAATTTTTTATTTTTTTGGTATTTGAAGCCAGGCCAAAAATTTCGGAAAAAATTCCGAATTAAATCCAAAAAAGTCCCAAGAAAATTTGAAAAGTTCTGAAAAATCAAAAACAATCTAACTACTAACTAAGAATTATATAAGTATTAGTAATCGATTATTTTGTTATCAATAAATATCAATCAGACTTTGCATTCAACTTAAAAAAGGTTAAAAAATTGTTCACATTTTTTTAAATTTTCTTGGAAGACATTATCTAAAATTGCAAAAAAATTAATCTGAGAGCACCTGAAAATTTACTGAGCAAACAAAATTTTAGTGCCAGACTAGCTTTTTATTTAAATTTAAAAAATTCTCAAGATTGCTTGTTTGTAAACCACAATCGCA